CTCGCACATCAACACTCTGTCCTCCTTTATCCCGATCTCCCCCGCAGCTCCCCACCGCCTCCGCCAGTCCTCCTTACCGTCCTCGATCAAGCGAGGTCAGCCGACCAGCTCTGCTTTGCTGGGCGTCGTGCTACCTCTACCTGACAACGACGTACCTTGCCAACCCCATCCATGTCCCTCGCTCGTTGTCCTCATCGCCGCCGCCCGCGCACGCACCCTGGCTCACGCCGCGCAGCCGCAATCTGATCTCTGCCATCGAGGCGTTGCGCATGCCTACCGTCACCGACCGCATCCTTGTCAACAGCCGAGTGCTGCTGACGCCAACGCCATCGTCCTCCTCGCCGACGTTACCGCTGGCATGACGACTGTCACGCCGTTCATGGGCTGGGCAAACAACAAGCCGACCACGCTCCGTCCACCACAGCCGCGCTGCAGCCTGGACACCACCGCCCTGGCGGTCGATGCAACGTCGTCGTCCTTCCTCAAGAGCGTGCTGCGGTTCCAGCTCGCCATCAAGGTAACAGCGGAAGCAACAAAGCCATGCCCTGCTCCGTCCAGACGAATGGGACATCCGGTTGCTCGACGACAGCGAGCACATGCCATCACCCTTCCACACACTCGTCGTCGCCAGATCGCGCACACTCTCACCACATCCATGCCGCAGTCGGACACCAGCCATCCCCCCTCCCATCGCCACACCAAGCCGCACATGCCGCGCCAGCTCCCAGCAAACGAGCACGCGGCCCACACACACAAGTATGCTGGACATCCTCTCCAGCCCGATCTACCGCCTCACCCTCGCCTCGGCCTCCAATCGCCTCCTCAGCCACCCGTCCGACGCCCCCAAGGCCGACGCTAAAAGCCAACCACGAACGATCCAGTCCCATGGGCCTCACCTCCCCCCAAATCAAACAACCGCAGATCCCTCGTCGGCGAGCTGGCTGCCATGAACCCCCGCTGTGCACTCAACAAAGCTGATGCCCGCATTCCATCGCCATCTCAACTTGCATACGACTGGCCGATCGCTCCCTCACCCTGGCCACTGGTCGTCCACGGCCGCGGTTCTCGATGCATCCACCGACTTTGTTCTTGCCGCTGTTGGAGACGTTGATGCATAGACTGCTTCATCCATATCGTTTGGGCAGCCATCGACCTTGATCGCCACAAAGTAGCGGCGCTTGTACGCCACCGCAGCCACAACGACCTTCGCCTCGGCCTCCAATCGCCTCCGCAGCCGCACGTCTCACTTCCTCGCCGAGGCGAACGCGATGGCGAGAGTGCTCCTGATGGCATGGCCGTAGTCTCTGTGTGGGAGGTTCCGCCAAAGGTCTCGGCTGCCAGGCTGATGGGCAACAACAACACCGGTAACATCTGCATCTGGCCGTCCGAGGAGGTTTTCGCCCATCTTCTCCTCACCCGCCACGCCGGCCTTCTTGCCCGCAACTCGTTTCGGGCCATCGAGCTTGGCGCCGGCATGACCGGTCTTGCCGGCGTTGTCGTTGCGGCTGCAGCCGCTTCCGACACTGCCGCGGTTGTCGTCACCGACGGCAACCCGACCTCGGTTGATCTGCTCGCTGCCAATCTTGCCGCCAACCACGGCGTCAGCGTAGCACCCTCCAACGCTCGTCGGGGCACTCCTCGAGTGGGACGCTGCCGTAGACTACTCGGCCGATGTGGCGTTGTGCGGCGGCCGCTTTGATCTTGTCTTTGCCGCCGACTGCCTCTTCTTCGAAGCTGCCCACTTGGGCCTCATCCATGACACCAACGGAGAATCAGAGGAACCAACCGGGTAGCTTCGAGATCGGTGCAGTTGGAAACGCAGCGATAGATGGTTGAAGACGTGCGTAGTATGGTATGATCTATAAAGTAGATGGTCTGGCTAGACCCAGCAGAGCCAGCCAACATGATAACATTGTTGGTGTAGGGATTGAACTTGACAGGGAGCTCGGCGAGGGTTGCCTGGGTGGCGTTGGATGATTCGTACCTTGCAACGCTGCAGCTGGCTCCAAGTTCACAGAAGAAAAACCATGGCCTCTCGGTCCCGAAAGGAGCTCCTACACCCAAAATGGGGAACTGAGAGGGTGCCCCCTCCGTTTGCATTTTCGCAGACCAACACGCGGTGCAGCATCTCACCACCGTTTCGCCTGTAACCCACGACGCGTTGGGCTCATCGACGGCGGCCCTATATCCCAAGCCCGCGACATCATTTCGAAGTCGCGCCCGGCCAGTACCAGCTCGAGCCTGTGCCGCTCTTTGCTGACAAGTCCGGCATCCGCAAGCCCCACATTTCGACCAACCCCGCTTCTGGTGCGAGGACAGGCGATACAAACAAGGCATGGGAGATGGACAGGGCGAGGCAAGATGTTGGACGGTGAATGACAGAGGATGGGTCCACAATCAAGAGTGCATGTGTCGGCCGCCCGAGCCCTGTTCCTGCTGCCAATCGTCGTCGGCTGCCGTCGAGTGACCACCGGTTAGCAACCACTCACCAGCTCCAGCGACGTCACCCACGCACACTGCACCCCCCTGCCCACCCCCCCCCCTTTACCCACAGCCATGGAGCCAACTCCAGCATGGGCGTACCTTGTTGTTGCTGCCGTGGCGTCTGCCGTGTACTGCAACTCGCTCTGGGGCGAGCTGTTCTTTGACGACGAGTACGCTATTCACCGCAACGCAGACGTCGTCTCGCCCGATCCTGTCCCCTGGTCGCACTACTGGCGCCACGACTACTGGGGCATGCCCATGGATGACCCCCGCTCGCACAAGTCTTTCCGTCCGCTTGTGGTCCTCACCTTTCGCGCCAACTTTCTCATCTCGGGTACCGCTGAGTTCGGCTTCCACCTTGGCAACGTACTCTTCCACGCCCTGGGCTCAGCTCTGGTGCTTCCCATCGCCGGCACCATCCTCGATGGCTACTCGCACGCCTCTCTCTTTGCCGCTCTTCTCTTTGCCACCCATCCTGTCCACGCCGAGGCCGTCGCTGGCGTCGTCGGCCGCGCCGAGGTCATGTGTTTTGTCTTTTACGCTGCCGCCTTTCTTGCGGGCGTCCGTGCCGCTCGTCGCTACCACACGTCGCTGAGATGGTCGATGGCAGTCTGTGCCTTTGCTGCTGCCGCCACGCTTTGCAAAGAGACTGGCATTACTGTCTTTGGCGTCCTGTTCTTCTACGAAATGTTGTATGTCATGAACTGGCTGGAGTTGCCGGTCCAGGCCAAAGATGAGGCCGCAGCGGCTGCGGCGGCTCGCAATCCGGCACGTGTTGGCAAGATCAATGCCGTAGTTGCCGCTGCCACCCGCTTCAAGCTAGTCTCGTGGCAGCCCGATCGGTTCTGGCCCGTCTTTGTCCGCCAAGTCTCGTACGCGCTCTTTGGTCTCGTCTTTATGTGGTGGCGCCTCTCGCTCAACCAGGGCGTGCTCCCAACATGGCCCGAGAAGGACAACCAGGCTGCCGTCTCGGACGAGCTCCTGCCCAAGCTTCTCAACTTTCCCTACATATACGCCTACAATACGTGGCTGCTCATCTTCCCGCTCCATCTTTGTGCCGACTACTCGTTCGAGTCGATTCCCATGATCGAGTCGTTTGCCGACGTCCGCGTCGCTCTCACCTGGGCGCTGGCCGCTGTTGTGCTCGGCGGCTGCCTCTACGCTTGCGGGCTCAACGTCTTGCGCATGTCGACCTCGACTCGCGTTCATCTTCCGGTTCTCGCTGCCGCCGCCTTTGCCGCCGTCCCCTTTCTCCCTTCCACCAATCTGTTCTTCCTAATCGGCTTTCTGGTTGCTGAGCGCGTGCTCTACATCCCCTCTCTAGGCTGGTGCCTCCTACTGGGCTACCTGCTGAAGCTGGCCTTGGAGCGCAGCACGGGGCGTAGCCGCCAGCTTGTGCTAGGCCTTGCGCTGCTGCTGCTGGTTGCCTACTCGGGCCGGACGCTGGCGCGTAACGCCGACTGGGCGTCCGAGGAGGCGTTGTGGCGGTCAGCCGAGGCTGTGGTGCCCTCCAATGGCAAGGTCAACTTCAACCTCGGCAACGTTCATTTTGCACGCGGCGAGTACGCCCAAGCTGTCGCTTACTTTAACGTCTCGCTGATAGCCTCGCCTGACGACCCATCAACGCTCATCAACATTGCAACGTGCTACGCCAAGATGAATGCGTTTGACACCGCCATCGAGTACTACGAGGCCGCCTCTAAGCTCGCCACCAACCTGGGCCAGTTCTTCAACTGGGGCGCCATTCTGGAGCATCGCGGGCAGTACGAGGAAGCCATCAAAGTCTTTCATATGGCATCCGAGTTCTCGCCACACGGCGGCCGCTTGGCTCTCTACCAGGACGATCCAAAGATGAAGGCACTTGCGGCCATGCACGAGGGTACGCTGCTGTGCCGTGTTGGCCGCGGCCGCGATGGCCTAGACCGCTTTTACTACGCCGTCCGCGTTGACCCAAATCTCGCAGAGGCCTGGATGCGCATCGGCCTCGAACACTCGGTCAATGGCGAGCTCGACAAAGCTGTGCCAGCCCTGGAGCGCTCGCTCGCACTTGATCCATCGCTTCACTATTCAGCCGACGAGCTGGCCAAGATCCGTACCGGCGAGCGATCAGCTGCCGACACGCCGCGAGAGCTTCCACTCTCAGCACAGATCGCCGCCGCGCAGGACCACGTCGCCGCCCGCCCGAACGATCCGGCTGCACACCTCGCGCTCGCCTCGCTCTACCACGCAACCGGAGAATATCGCCTGGCGTTGGCCTCGACAAACCACGCGCTCGACCACGCGCCGGAGAGCATCGACGCGCTTGCCTTTGCCACCCAGCTCCACCTCGAAGCTGGCGAGACGAGAGCTGCACTTGATGCCGCAAACCGCGCTGCCGCGCTGCCGGGTGCGACGCCACGGCTTCACATGCTGCATGGTCTCGCGCTCGTCGACAGCGGTGATACACTCGCTGGCGTTGCCGCGCTCGAGCGCGCGGTCGGTGGTGATTCATCGCTTGCAGAGGCTCATCTCGTGCTCGGGCGTGTGGCCCTGGCGAGTGGTGACGCCCATCGCGCCGCTGGCCGGCTGCGCAAGGCGTACGCGGCCCGAGTCCGCGCCGCCGGCGGTGATAAGAGTGCCGCCGCGGCGTTGCCTGTTCTCTACGAGCTGGCTGAAGCACTGCTAGCAGCCGGCAAGCGAACTGCGGCGCGCAAGGCGCTTTCACGCCTTGTGGCCGCTGATCCTGACTTTGCTGGCGCACAGGTCCTGCTCGACTCGCTACAGTAGCCACATCACACTCGCTTTATCTCCTGCGTCTTGCTTACTTGAGCGCAATGTTGAGGAACTTGCGGCTCTTGAAGCACATCCACCACTTGGACGCCGGCGACGTCTCGTCCGGGTACACAAGATCGACGAGCCGGATGCCGAGCTCCTGGCGGAGCTGGGTAAAGTAGGCGCGGATCTCGTCGGCCTCGGCCCGCGACTCGGGAGCTGAGAAGAAGCCGCCGAGCTCAAACTGCGCGTCGCCAGGGATGTTAAAGTTGCTGAGCGAGAGCGTGTACAGGGCCTTGACGCCGTCCTTCTTCGTCTTGTTGCGGAAGAGCTCCTTGAGGCACTGCGAGACGTAAAGCGTCAGGTAGATGAGGACACGGTCAGCCGGGCCCTGGATGTCGTAGTTCTTGAAAAAGATGTTGGCCTTCCAGTACCGGAGCACCTCATCGATGATGTCGTGGTCTGCCGTCCCCGTCATCGTCTCCTCCGTAAGTCGCTGCCTCTTAGCCGTGGCGGCTGCCAACACCGTCCCCGCTCCGCCAAAAAATGGCTCACACCCTCAGAGCCGCCGACCGACCACCCCCGCACCACCCACAGCGACCTCCTCCCACACCCACCAGCCCTGCCCACACCGCACAGCTACTCTCTGTTGGCCTCATCCACACCCTATGTGGTGTGTGATAGGCCGAACGCGCTCAGTTGCTCGCCACTCCCCCCTTCCCCTCGGGCCCGTCGTCGCCTGTTCGGTTTTCTGGCGAAGCCGGCCGGACGAGGCCAACACGGTCCTACTCGAGCCAAGGGCATGGGGGCATGCATGGACGTACCGGTAGTACGCGGGGCCGGGCCGCGGACCTCCGACCGCAGCGGCAGGATGGAGCACGAGCAGAGAGTACGCGCGTCAATGTCGTTCTGCTTCGAGTGGTACGCCGGCATGGTGACTGAGACGTGTATTGCCGGCTCCAGCGGGTGGAGGACCGGCGAGTCGGCGAGTAAGCGAGTGATCGAGACATTGATCGAGACCGTCATTGGATGAACGCCATTCTTCATTCACCAGCATCAACCAACAGCCCCATCCATCACCGCCCACATCGTCATCGGCAACATACTCTCCGAGAGTCCATACAACCCACACATATCACAATACATATCAGTGACACCATCGCCATCGTCAGCTGCGCTCGCCCCCCCCCCCCCCCTCCCCCCTCTCCTCTGTCCTCGGGTTCATCTCACCATCTGGCCAGCCAGCCAACGAACGCTGCCAGAGTGGCTCGTACACGCACGCGTCCCTCACTGACCGCCTTCCTTTTCCTCCACCCCTCTCCACCCCTCTCCACCTCCCCCTCCTCCTGCTTTCCCATGTTCCGTGTCCACATCCCGCTCGGTGGCGAGGTGTGCCCAGCCACCAAGCCACGGGTCCAGGAGCTCGACGGCTTCCCGCTGGTGGTGGTCGACGGCAAGATCGTGCTCGCCAAGCCGTCGCTGCTCGAGACGCGCAAGGGTGGGACGTGGCTCTCGCGAGCTTGCGGCGTCATCGGCCTCACGCTCGGCGCTGTTGGCTCGACACTGATGTGGACAAGCCGCTCAGGCGCTGCTCGCCCAGACACAGACACCTGGCTCCGCGGCGCTCTCGCCACCGGCGCTGCCATTCCGCTGCTCTCGATCTCGGTCGCCTTGTCGTGGCGCACCTACGACCACGATCCGGCCACCGTCGTTGCTGCCCGTGACGCCATGGTCCGGCGCGTTCTCACCTCGCCGCAGCTGACTCTCGCAGAGGTGCTTGAGGCCGATCCGGTCTCGTTCCTGGCGCCGGACGAGCTGCGCGCCATGACGCTCTCGCGCGTGGCTTCGCTCGCCGACATGGCCCTGCTCAACCCGTCGGTCATGGTCCGCTTCGGCGCCATGACCCTCAACGAGGCCCGATATGTTGGCTCGTACTCTGGCGCCTGGTCCGAGCGGACCCGCGAGTTTGAGGCATCCACCAACGCCCTCAAGCAGGTCATCGAAATGGAGATGCGCGACCAGATCCAGGTCTTCAACGCCCGCCTGGCGGCCGCCCAGGGCGAATACGAGTCGGTCGAGTGTGTCCGTCTTCTTGACTCGCTCAAAAAGTCGCTTGCTGCACGCATCAACGAGCTCCGCCGCTACCGCTCTGACCGCCTCCGCGCCCTGCAGCGCGAAGGGCGCTCCGCCGAGGCCACCGTCAAGGAGCAGATGGCCGCCCAACGCGCCCATCTCATCTCCAACTTTGAACAGCTCAACGCCATTGACGACGCAAACCTCCCTGTCCCCGCTCCGCCGACTGATGCTACTGCTCCGCCGCCCTACGCCCCGTCGGCTCCACCCGCCGGCCCGCCGCCGACCTACACCGACGCCCCCGCTGAACTGCCCGCAACCGATCCGAGCAAGATCTCGCGCGAGGCCGCCCGTAAGGCCACCCTCGAGTCTGAACTCAAACGGCTTGACGAGCTCGAGGCTGAGACGCTGCGCCGGACAGAGGCTGCCATTGCTGAGGAGCAGGCCAAGCTCAAGGCCTACGTCGACCAGCAGATCTCGCAGGCCAAGAAGGACTTTGCCAACCACGCCACGCACCTCGAGTCGTGCGTCGCCACCGCCGCCTCCATCCGCGACGCGAGCATGGAAGTCGAGAAGCGCCGCCTCGAGCAGGCCCGCGAAGAGGTCTCGGCCTCGCACTTCCGCCGCCTCACGCCGCTCGAGGACGCCTACAAGGTCGACATCGCCGCCATGACCTCTTCTGCCGAATCGGCCGCAGCCACCTCCATCGACAGTCACTATGTCGCTCCCGCCTACTCCACCTTCCACCTCGGTCGCGAGCTGACCGGTGAGGAGCTCTCCCAGCTCATGGCCCAGTTTGAGCTTACTGGTGGCATCGATGGCGTTGGCCACGACATTGTCGAGCGCTCGCCCTGACTGCCACCGCGAGCAGCCGCACCTGTACGCCGTTGGCCTCTCGAAAAAAAAGACCCCAAAGAAATTCGCCTTCAACTGCCAGCCACCCCCCTCCCTCACCGCAGCCGCAAGCCACGCATACTTGACTCTCCCTCCCCTTCCACAGCACCATGTCTACCCGCAAGCGCCGCGCCAAGACGCCGCCTGCCGCATCGAGCTCGCACCGGTCGCCTGCGACCAAGCGGGCAAAGACCAAGCCGGGCCGGGCCAGTCGCAAGACGCCAAGCAGCGGACAGGTCCTCACCGGCGACGCGGCTGTGCTGGCGGGCATTGCTGCCGATCACAGCAGCAGCGGCGAGACAGAGTACAGTGAGATGTTTGGCATTACGTCGGTGGCGCTGCACAACGGCGCACTGCCCATCGACCACCACACCTCGCTCTCGCCGGCCTGGATGGCAAGCCACCCACTGGCCACCAGCGCCCCGCTCGAATCGCCGCCGCCGACCATGGTGGCTGCCACCGACAAGGCCGTCAACGTCCTCCGCCGTGCTTCACACGCCCACGATCTCCCGTTGCCGCCGGTCATTGACTGGAGCGAGGTCCATGCCCGCGCCGAGGAGGAGAAGGCCGCAGTTGCCGCCGCCTACGTCGCCGAGCATCCGGCGAGCGCCGGCCGCTCGGTCGATGCGCTCTACCGCGCAGCGATGGCAGCTGCCGACTCTACCGCGCACGAGACTGATATCAGCGCCGGTGTTGACATGGTCTTCAAGGGCGGTGGTGCCAAGGGCAACGTGTTCATCGGCGCCCTCGGCGCGCTTGTCACCCGTGGGCTTAAGTTTGGTCGGCTCATCGGCACCTCGGCCGGCGCGTTCATGGCCACTATCACCGCCATTGGCCTCTCGCCGGGCGACGTCCATCGTTTCGCGCTCTCCAAGCGGCGTGACAACACCGGCAAGATGGTCTCAGCCATGCAAGCCATCACCATGGACCTCCCGCTGCCGAGCGACGTCTCGCCCGAGCTCCGGTCGTCGTCGCAGCTCGCGCAGGCGCTCAACACCCTCCACATTCCGCTTGTCCCCGAAGCCGCCGTTGCCGCCGGCAACTCGCTCATTCTCAATGCGCTCTTCAACCACTCGCGTGACTTCCGGGTCCTGTTTGGTCTCTACGAGCTCGGTGGCGCCCTTGTCGGCAACGCCCTCGTCGACTACATCAACGAGGCCATCCATACCTACCACCCAAGCCTGGCCTCCGTTCCTGAGCCAACCATGGCTCAGCTGTACGCTGTCACCGGCGCAGATCTCACCGTCGTCGCCGCCGATGTGACCAACGGCGAACGCCTGGTCCTCAACCACCGGACTGCGCCAGACGTGCCTGTCGCCTGGGCCACCCGCATGTCTATGGCGCTCATGGCCGCCTACCGCTTCGTCACCTGGCGCTCCGAGTGGGGCACATATCTCGGCGACGACCGCACTGGCGCTGTGGTTGTTGACGGCGGCCTTCTCGATGTCTTTGCCCTCGATCTCGTCACCTCGGAGGATCCGCGCGTCCGCGCCATGATGGGCCGCACCGCCCCGGGCTCCGACCACCCGATCATCGGCTTCCTCATCGAGGACGACATGCCGCTCTCTGCTGCCATTCACGAGGACTCCTGGCGCCCGCCAAAGCCCTCCCCGCCGTCGCGCGATGGCCTGCACAACCTCGCTCTGGAGCACCTGGAAAACCTCCTTGATGCCACCATGTCCGGGCCGTATCGCGTCCTCGAGCGCTCCTATCCGGAACTCATCTGCCACCTGCCTGCCAAGGGCTACTCTACCATGGAGATGGCTATGACGCCTGCCCGTCTCGAAGCCCTCATGACTGCCGGTCACGCTGCCACCCTCCGCTTCCTCGACTGTGTCTGGCCGCCGACCAAGTCCACCGCCTCCTCGCCCTCGCCTCCGCGCACCAAGTCCAAGTCCAAGTCCAAGTCCAAGTCCAAGTCCAGAGCATAAGATCTAAACCCCCCAGCCGAACAACCCTGTGCCTCACACACCATTCCCCAACATGCTGCCCGATACCCCCCCCCCCCCCCCCCCCCCCCCCTTCCCCCGCTCCTCGCCTCCAATGTCACCATTCAAAATGAATGAACGAGTCTTTGTGTCACGCACCCCACCCCACCCCCCCCCCCTCCCCTCCTCTCCTTCCTCCTCTCCCACCTCACCCACTTATCCACTGGCTAGCCATGCTAAGTGCCCGAGACGCACAGCAGAGGATGCTGGATGTCCTGGGCCACTTGGCAGGACGCACAGGGTCGGCCTTGAAGACGTTAGACCTGTCGCTTCCGCTCGTGGGTCGGACGGTGGAGTCATCGGCCGAGGCGAGACAGCCGGGCGGCGGCGGGTGCTCGGGCTTGGGCGCCGGAGATGCAGAGATAGTGGCTCTTGCACATGAGCTCATGGCTTCGCTTCGACACATACATACGTCGGCACTCGGTGCTGATGATGAGTGGATTGCCGAAGTCTGCTCAGAACGGCCTCTTCCCGACGCTCCCGGCGGTGTCCTCCTCCTCGCTGCCCTCCTTGCTGCTGCCACACGCACCGACGCCGATGCTTCTGGTGATGTTCCGCTCTCTCGTGGCGAGCTCACTTGGGCTGCCCTTCCGCTCGCCATTCTCCGTGCCATCATTCGCTTTCCCTCGGGTCTTGCCGCCGTCGGCGCCTCGGCCGAAGTGCTTGCCGATTTGGTCCATCTGCTCATGCTGGCCCATCTCGCGCTCGCCCCGAGCCCATCCTCTGGCGAGGCGACTCTGGCTGTGCTCAAGCCACGGTTAGCCTCGCCGCAGTCGCCGATCGCTTCCGGCCCGCAACGCTCGCCGCTCGTGGGCTCGTCGCGCCTCGCCCTCTCCATGTCGGCCCTGCCCTCGGACCGTCCTTCTGCCGCTCAGCTCCCGCCAGAGTCGGAGCTCCACACCGTCGTCGCCCACGTCCTCGGCATCATGGCCAATGTCGCCGCCAAGGCCGCCAATGGCGCCGACGCCCTGCTCGACGCGCTCCATGCTCATGAGGCCCGCCTCCGCCTTCGCGTCGCTGACCACGCTGTCGTCCTCCCGTGGCACGTCCTCGCTGCCGCCCTGGCCCCCGACGCTCCACGCTCCGGAACTTCGCTCATGTGCTCGACAAAAGCAACCACTCTCCGCGAAGCTCTGCTCGAAAATGTCACCGAGCCGGCCGCCCGCGACTACCTCCTCGCCTCGCTCGGCGCCGCAAACATCGCCCCGCCGGGCTACCAACGTGTCGACGAGCCCGATGCCACCGCATCCGACGCCGAGTCGATCTCGTCATCGACCGCCGCCGTCGGCTTTGCCGCCCACGTCACCGCGGATGCCCTCCTCACCGTCGACGGGCCGGAACTCATCCGTCGCCTCCGCGCCGGTCTCCGCGTCGACAAGCGCACCTACCGCCTCAAGGCCTATCGCAACGTCTTTGTCGGATCCGAGGCCGTCGACTTTATGGTCGCTGAGGGTCTTGCCACGAGCCGCACGCACGCCGTCGAACTTGGCAACGCCCTCGCCGCCCTCGGCCTCCTCTCTCACTGCAAGGACCGTCACTCCTTCAAGGACGCCTGGCTCTTCTATGTCTTTACCCGCTGGTCGCAGACCGACGCCCAGGGCGTCGTCCGCAGCGCGTGCTCAGACTGCGGCTGCGCCGAGTTTGTCCGCGGCACAGACGCCGTCAACTGCGCCTACTGTGGCTGTCGGCCCGTCGCACATGCCCCCTCCACCGTGGAAGACACTCTCTGGTCGCGCGCTGCCGCGCCCGCCCACGACCTCGCCTCGCCCACACTGCCACCGTCGAGTCCGCCGCCGGCTACGCCCCGCCGCGATCGCCTGCTGAAGGTTGTCCTCGTCGGCGAGGCCGGGGTCGGCAAGTCCTCGCTCTGCCGCCGCATGGCTAATCTCAAGTTTGCCTTTAAGCTGCCACCCACCATCGGCGTCGACCATGTATTTGTCCGCTTCCCGCGCTCAGAGCAGCCTGGATCGAGCACTGTGCTCTTCCAGCTCTGGGACACCGCCGGCGTACGGGCCTACCGCCTCGCTTCGCAGCTGGTCTTTGCCGGCGCCGCCGCCGTCGTCCTCATGTACGACGTCACCAACGCCGCCTCCTTTGCCGCTATTGCGGACAACTGGCTCCCGCTCCTGGCCAATCATGGCCTCCTCACCTCGGCCCGCCTCGTCCTCGTCGCCAACAAGAACGACGCTACCGCTGCCCGCGTCGTTGACACACCTACCGGTGCATCCTTTGCCGCCGCACACAACATGCACTTTGTCGAGACCTCGGCAAAGACCGCCGTCAACGCCACCACGCCGCTCGCCCATCTCGCTGCCGTCCTCGCCGCGCCCCTGTCAGCCGCCGAGAGCCTGCCCACCGGCCCGCCGTCTCTACTCCACGCCCGCTCGCTCTCGCTTCCAGCCTCGCGGTCTTCGGCACTCAAGGCTATCGACAAAGACAAGCGCGTCGAGTCATGCGCTGTTTCATAGTCACGCTACCGCTCGACTGCCAGCGCCACGTCGACCACCGGGCCTGACGCGCGCAGCCTCCCGCCGTCCTCGCTCCGCACAAACACGCTCGCCACCAGCCGTCGCCCACCGCTCGCTGCCTCGGTCGGTACCACCACCGCTGTCCGAAAAAACCGCGAGCCGTGCAACTTGGCCTCGACCCGGTGCTGCCACGCGCTACCGGTCGAGAGCTCGATGACGACAGAGTGCGCCAGCCCGAGCGGGACCTCGCCCGAAAGCGTGAGCTTGACGTCCGTCCCGGCACGGCACGGCACCGCCACGCCATCGTCGCCGCGACTCGCCTCGGAAATAAACAGCGACGGCGCCGGTGGTGCGCTCAGCACAAACACCCGTGACGGCACTACTGCCAGCGACGCCAGGCACTGCGCCATCGCTCTCGCCAGCTCGTCACCGTCCAGCCGCGGCGCAGTCAGCGCAGCCTCGACTTGGGCCGCTCCGCACCGCACAGCCTCCATCGCCGCCACGTCGCCCTGACGCATGTCCAGCGCTGCATCAGACAGTTCCGCCAGCCGCACCGCGCCCACACCCACGCTCGCTGCCAGCCGCGCCCGAAACAGAGCAGGCGCGCTCTGCAGCCCGGCACCGACCTGTGCCACACCGCTCAGCCCCGCGCACATGTCGCTCACCGCAGAGAGCCACGCACCCTGGAAAACTCCGATCCCGCGCTCACCGTGCGCCGTTTGCAGTGCGCAGACTGCGAGACGCGCAGCCGCCAGCGCAGCCTCGGCTTCGCCCAACCGAGCCACAACTGCGCTGTTTGCCCCAGCGCTCGCAGCCTTGGACCCATTCGCCAATGCCTCGGCTCCGCTCACCATTCTGACGGCAGCGTCAAGCCAGTACGACCACGGCGACGCCACGCCCGACGCCACGCAAGCCCACAGCGTCACAGCGCTCTCAAAGTGACCGCCGCGCGCCGCGCGCTCGCCCAACTGGTACAGCGCCCATCCGCTGCCGCAGGCCTCGCTGCTCAGCAGCAGCGGCATCCACTTCTCCTCAAACGCATCAGGGCTGCTCTCCAGCGCGCTCAGCACGCGCTCCTCGCCCGGCGAGGAGCAGAAGCACAGCGCCACGCACCGCACCATGTCGCCAGGCTTTGTCCACTCCGCCTCGCCGGCACTCTCGGCCTCGATCCATCCCCGGATCGCATCCGCCACAGCCCGCAGGCTATCGACCATCGCGCTCACGGCCGCCGCCTCGGCTGCGCCGCTCTTGAGCATCGCCGTCAGCGCCCGGAGCGGTGACGTGAGCTGCTCGCTCTTCCGCCCTACAACTGCCGCTTCAACCTTGCGCGCCGCAGCCTCTACCGCCGCCGCCACAAAAGTGTGTGGCGCGTCGCGCGACGTCGCCAGCCGCGCAAGGCATGCATAGATCTCGGGCGCGTCATCGGTCTCGCCAAGCACCGCAGCCAGCACGGCGTCCTCCACTGCAGTGTACAGCTCGGGCGCCGCAGAGTGGTCCTCGCGACACGCGAGGTCGACCAGCAACGGCGCAAGCAGCGGCGTTGCCTTGCTCTCGGTAAATCGCTGAAGCAGCGCCGCCAAGAGCTGCGCCGGCGGATGGGCGAGCTGGGCCGGCTGCCGGACAACGGCACGGAGAAGCGCAGCGGCGCCAGGCGCCAGCTCGGGTGCGTCCAGCCAGCTAATGACGCGCCCGGCATCAATGTGATGTGCTGCGAGGAGCGGCCGCGATGCCATCCGCCGCGCCGCAGCTACCGCCGCTAGCCGCACCGCTTTGGCAGGTGAGTTCTCGACCAGCTCGGCAAGCGCCCCACTCAGCGAGGCGTGAAAGTGCGAGTCGCCGACCAGTGCTGCTGCCGCCGCCGCTGACGACGTCGCAAGCTCGGCAAGGACCGCCACCGCCGGCACCATGACCGGCGGAGCAGGCGCAGAGTCGAGCACGCCCAGCGCCAGCCCCGCCACCTTGTCGAATAGCGACGCATCGCCGGCGTTGATCGCGGGCAGCAAGTCGAGGACTCTCAGCAGTGTGTCCGTCGAGCAGACCGTGCCAGGAGCCATCTGCTCCGCCGCATGCGCAAGCAGCGCCGCAGCAAAGTGTGGCGAGTGCGGCGCAATGGCCTTGGCTGCCGCGCCCGCCGCTGCAGCCTCGCGGTGTGCCGGCGAGACAAGTCCCGCCAGCACCGCGTGCCGCACATCCACCCGGTCCGCTACCACCGGGGCAAGCAGCGCCAGTGCCTGCAGCGCCAGTGCCCGCGCCAGCGGATCGTTCGAGACCGTCACAAAGAGCACCGGATCGACCACACGGCCCGGCGCGGCGAGCTTGACCACGTGCGGTGCCGCCAGCGGCAGTGCGTGCACAATAAGCGCCCGCAGCCGGTTCGAGTCGACCCGGAAAATAGACGCGAGCTTGGAGAGCGCCAGACCGACCGTAGCTGGTGCACGGGCCGACGCCACTGAATGTGCCATGAACAGCAAGATCTCCGCCTGCTCGCCCGTCCCCACCACGTGTGCGTCCGTCCCGTTGGCCGCCTGCTCCAATGCCGCCGTCAGCCGAATGACCGCCTCGTCTGGACGCGTCGCAGACCGCAGCAGGTGGAAGAGCGACATGCCACTCGCGAGCGCATCATCCCCATGGCTCCACAGCCGCCCGCCTCCACTCCCGCCTCCGCCGGCCCCACTCACTCCGCCTCCGCCGCCACCCTCACCGCCCGCCCCCGCGCTCACCCTCGGCGTCAGCACCATTCCACGCGGCGAGACCAGCGACACGCCACCGCCCCCGCTACCCAGGCTCCCGTCGGTCGCAATCCGGAGTCCACTTGCCATGTAAGTAGAGCAGTGCTCGACCCGCCCGCGACTGTGTGGGCTGCCACCGCCAGCCTTGCGAGGCCGGCCGGAGGTCGAGAATGGGGGGGTGGGGGGTGGGGCATGGCTAGCAATATTTGTCCCAATTCGCCAACGTCCGCCGGGACCTGGGTAGTACCCCGCAACACGTCAAACACTATTTTTTTCGCATAAACAGCGTTTTTTTTTGGCCCCCCTTTGCCAAAGAACATCGACTTATGATGGACCAACGCCGCCACAAAGCTCGATTCATGTCAACCTCACTCGTCTCGCACACGTACACACCCCGCAACTCTCAACCTCCTCCATACCACCCACCGTCCAATCTTTAACCGCCATGGCTAATACCGTGGCCCTTGGATTGGTGTTGGGTTTGGTCTTGCTGGTGGTCGGTGTGGCAGGCAATGGCGTGGCACACCCGAAGACCAGCCACGATTCCAACAAGCGTTCGTCTCCCACTTTGTGGCTCCCTCGCTCCTGACGTCAGCTTTCGGTGCCGGTATGGAGGCAATGGAGGCAATGGAGGCGATGGAGGCGACAATGCCATCCGTGGCCAGGTCCGGTCGGTTGTCTCGTTTGATGCCCACACCTGGTCGGAGCTCGCGCCTGGCTCGGTTCTTTCGCTCCCGCTCGGCCGTGCTTTTGATCAAACGTCAGGTTTGACCGTCCGTGTCACTTCGGTCATCCGCACTCGGCCTTCAGCCGATGGCAATGACCAGCCGCGGCCGGTTGCTGTCGTCCTTGGCTGTCTTGCTGCCTCTGTAGACACTCTTCCTCCCAACTGTCCGCCGTCCGAACGACTGCTTGCCACCGAGCATGCCGACGGCTCGGTCATGATCCACGTTGTGTCGGCCAAGGCCGAGCTCGGCGCCACGCTCTCGGTGACCCGCTCCGACAACGGCAACGCTTTTCGACCTGCCACGCTCACCGTCGGTCCGCTCGCCTCCGCGTTCTGCCACCTGCCGCGCCCTGAGCCAGCGCTTGCGGCCGATGAGAGTGGCGACAATCCTGCCCTCGATCTCTTTGCCGCCGAGCTTGTGGACGAGGCCGCGGCCGAGGCTGCTGCAGGCGGCTCGCTGTTGTTTCCCACCGGAGGCAAGGCCAGCGCTGGGCGGGCGCGGGTTTCTACCCGGTCCAGCGTCCCGATCTTCACCACCCGGGCCAACGCACCCGACTGCTTCCACCTCGATTTCGACGGCGGTGTGGTGACAGGTTCGGCATGGAACGCCTACACCTCGCAGCCTGCAATGGTCTACGACGCGTGGTCGCTCGACGGTAACTTTGTCGACTTTTCCTCCGCCGAGCGCGACGTCATCAAGGCCGTTGTCACCCGCGTCGCAGAGGACTTTATCGCCTTTAACGTAACAGTTACCACCGACGAGTCCATCTGCGCCGCGTACCCGCCTCAGCGCCGCGCCACCATCGCCATCACCCCACCGACAGCTGGGTGGCGCCGACCGGCGGCGTCTCGTACACGGACGCCTATGGACAGGCCTCCGACTACTACCAGCCGTCATGGGTCTTTCCGACCACCTCGACGATCGCGTTAATGCCATCGGCGACTCGGTCTCGCACGAGCTCGGCCACCAGCTTGGCCTCTCGCACGACGGATGGGCAATTCTCTCCCACTACCTCGGCCACTACGGCTGGGGCCCCATCATGGGCACTCCCTACACCATGTCGGTCACCCAGTGGTCCAAGGGTGAGTACAGTGGCGCAACCAATACCGAGGATGACCTTGCCATCATCGGCACTAAGCTCTCGCACGCACGCGACTCGATCGGTGACACCTTTGCCGACGCCCTCGACATCATGACTGCCCCGCGTCCGCCAGCGTACTCGATCATCAGCGCCATCACGTCCTCGTCCGACGTCGACTGCATCTCGTTTGTCGCAGGTAACGGCTCCATCACCGTCACCGCCCACATCCTGGCCGACGGTCCCAACCTCGACGTCGGCCTCACGGCGTACATCGACGTCGAGGCTGAGCCAGTGGTCACCGTCGCACCCGACGATCAGCTGCATGCCGAGCTTTTGCTTGTTGAACCCGAGAATGGGCGGCGGTATGCGGTGTGCGTCACGGGAACCGGCAACCGCATCGGCTTCTCGTCGGGCTTTTCCGACTACGGCTCGCTCGGCTACTACGGCCTGGTCGTCGACGGTCCTTTTGGCGACTTTAACGATCTTACGCCGCCGTTTGGCGTTCTCGAGGGCCGCTCCGCCGTCGTCGCCAACTCGACCACCGTCTCGGCGCCCGAGGTGCTCAAGACTCCGCTAATCGTCCGCGACGGCGCCCACCTCGACATTGCTGACAACCTCGCGGTTCCGGCCGGGTGTGTCCGCATCGAGGACGTGTCGACGCTGGCCATCGGGTCGGGTGTCCAGCTCACGGCCGCATGTTTTGTGCAAGCTCCGCAAGCTTCACTCGTTGTCGCCATCGCGCGCGGTGCCTCACCGAGTCTCGCCGTCGAGGGCTCAGTCGAGCTGGGCGGCTCGCTCGAGGTGGTGCTCAATGCCGACGTTCGGCTAATGCCGGGCGACGAGCAGGTCGTTCTGACCTTTCCACGCGCTCTGATGCTCACTTTACCAATCTGCAAGTCCGGACCGCCACCGGTGTCCGCGACGTCACCGACGCCGCGGGCACCTACCGCCTGGCTTGTGACGAGTCGTCATGCTCGATTCACGCCCAGCAGCCGGATTCCTCGTCGGATGCGACCACAACGACCGCGCCGCCGCCGCGCGCCAGCAATCGCAACATTGTGCTCGCTGTCCTCATCTCGTCGGGCATCGTTGTCGTCATTTCTGCCATCGTCATCACTCTCATGTACAAGCGGTCGCGAACTCGCCGGATTGTTCGTCCCAAGATTGGCGCCCGCCCTCCGCCCCTCTCGGATGCTGAGGCACTTGCCGTCGCCTCAGCTATCTCCCTCGGGCCTCAAGCGCCCGAGCCCTCCTCGACTGACGACACCTCGCAGCTCTCGTCGGACGAAATCTGACAAGCAAGTGAGCGTCTTTCCCCCCCTTCCCCAAATATACAACACAATCTTTCACCCACCGTGCTTGGCCTTGATGTGGGACTTGAGATTGCCCTCCTGCGTCGCCGCGTAGCTGCAATGAGTGCAGCGGAACGGCCGCTCGCCGGTGTGGCTCCGCATGTGGACGGCGAGCTTGGACGGGTACTTGCAGGCAAAGTCACAACCATCAACGGCGCACTTGTGCGGCAGATCACGGTTCTGGCGTCGGCCACCCCGTTTGCGCGGCGAGTACCGCGTCTTGGCCTTGGCCAGCAGCCGGGCCTTGTTCTCGGCGTAGTACCGCCTGTTCCTCGCTCGCTTTGCCGCCTTCCGGCGCTCTTCAGCCGTCATCACCCGCTCCCCGCCCACCTCATCTGCCGTGGCCTCGGCCACTGCCACCGCCGCACCTGCCGCTGCTGCCTCGCCTGCTGCCGCCTCGCCTGCTCTCCGCCGCACCCCGAGCCGCATCGCCGCCTGCCCTGCCGCCGAGCTCGGCAACGGCTGCACCCGCGGCCTCGACTGTCTCTGCCGCGGCGAGAACGAGCCGAGCTTGGTCACCCCCAGCGCCGCAATGCCACCCTGACGGCGAGCCGCCGTCTGGCCCACAGGTCGTGGGAGCGCTGGCAGCGGCGGTGGTGGTGGCGGAGGACGAGGAGGGGGAGAAGTAGAGCAAGGTACGCGTGATCGCGACCGGGCTGCAGCCGAGATCGGCTCCCTCCCAGGCAACCGTACCAGCAACGGCGGCAGCCCCATGTTGCCCAGCAGATCGCCTGTTGCGGCCGGCGCTGCCGCCGGCGCCGCGCCTTCCGCCACCGCATCTCCAGCTGCCACGCCTCCCGCCACACTCTGCCCCTGCCCAAAGGCCGAAAAGTCCCACGGCAGCGCCGAGACCCTGCCCAGCGCAGTGGTCCTTGCCCGCTTCCTCGGCCGAACTTCCGTACACGTTGCCGACGAGCCATCGCCCGCCACGGCCACGGCCAACCGCACGACCGGCAACGCCAGCTCGACCTCTCCCTCACCGCCTCCACCGCCTCTACTCCTTGCCTCGCCTGCTGCTTCTGCTGGCCATGGTCGCTTCGACCGGGCGTCGGCAGCCTGTCGGGCGTCGGCAGACATGGCGACCACCCGGCGAGACAGGTGAGCCAGCCAAGGTGGCCGTGAAGCAGAGTGTGCCAGCAGCTGGTGGACATGGCTTTACTCGATAAAGACGTTGGAAAAGGTCGACTTGGAGATGCGGGCAATCTCCTGTGAGACCTCGATGAGGTTGGCCTTCTTGGCGTCAAAGACGACGTACAACTCGCGCGAGTCCGACTTGCGGCCGGTGACCCAGCCCTCGGGGTCGGCCTTGATGTCGACCTCGGTGATGCCCTCGCGGTGGAGCGAGAGGTCGCTGCCGATGGCCCAAATCATGGACCGGAGCGAGGGCGAGAGCGCGTCGGCTGAGGCGAGCGAGCTCTTGAGCGCGAGGTTCATCGAGTTAAAGTAGGCGTAGGCCGAGTCCGAGTCGGTCGACGACGAGCTCGCGCCACGGGTGTCGGCCGCAAAGCCCAGGATGGACGAGACAAGCGTGTCCATCTGCGGCTTGATCTCGCGCTCGAGCGCAGCGTAGAGGTCAACTGAAGTCAGCGCTACCGGGTCGGTCACATCAAGAAGAAGGAGGAGGACCGCGCCGTGGGCATGGTAGATGAGCAGGAACTTTTCCTCGTCATCACCCACAAACACGTGCGGCGCATTGATCGGCGAGTCCGGATCCGTCAGGCTCGCCGGGCCGGTGAGGAAGCCGTCGGGCAGGACGCGCCGCGTGCCGGCTTTGGGCTTGAGCGACGGCATCGGGTGGTTGCGCGGCGTCTTGGAGAGGTCGACGTTGGCGCCGCCAACCGCCAGATTGTCCAGCAAGTACTTGTACAGGATGCGCATGTCGTCCGGCCCCAGGCCCGAGTACACCAGGTGGTCGTCAAAGAGAAAGACCGAGGCGCCGACAACCGGGAATGCGTCCTCCAGAGCGTTAACAAAGCACTGGATGCGGAGGTACACGTTCTTGTCGATGGGCAGGTAGTGGATGCCGGCGAGCGAGTGGAACATGTCCAGCGAGCCAAAGTCAATCGAGGTGATGTACGGCGTGAGGAAGAACTCGAGCTTGGAGCGGAGGACCTCGATCGAGTACTTGCTCACCACAGACGAGAATGAGGCGTTGAAGAGCTTGAACATGGCGTAGACTTGCTTGATCATGGTCGTCAACCCGCCATCCGTCACCTTGGTCCCATCGTACACGTTATCCTGCACGACATTGCCCTCCTCGTCCTTGCTCTCCACCACAGAGTACGGCAGCCGGACAACAAGGACCAGCCAGTACTCGCCCTCCGGATTGAAGTACGCCGCCCGATGCTTGCGAGTGTGTGCTGCAGACAGCGGCTGATTGGGAGAAAACTGCGCCGCAAAGTTGACAAAGGCTTGCGAGAGGCCAACGTTCCTTGTCTTTACAGACAACGGCAGCGAGTGCGGGTAGTAGTACAGCACGGCCTCGTGCTCCTTCCCTTCAGACCGGCCCAGACGCGGGTCAAACACGTAGAACTCGGCCAGGCTCGCCGCATACTCGGACAGCGTCGTGTCCATGACAAGGGGAGAGGGGAGGGGGGGGGGGGGGGGGAGTGGGGTGGTGTTGGTCCCGGACTTGGTCGCTCCAGCCTCTGTCGCTTCCCTTTCGTCGTGGCAGTCGACGTGTCTGTTGGTCGGCGTCACTTTGCTACAGCACGCCTGCTCGCCATAGACTACTAAGTTTACCCTTCAAGGATTTGCTGCCGCCGCAACTGCTCGATGGCCATCTCCAGACCGCGGCGATGGCCGGCCTTGCGGATGCCGAGGAGTGCAATCTCGTCCGGGGTGAGGGTGCCGAGAACCGCAAGCGTATCGTAGCCGTACTCCTTAAAGTTGACAAAGTAAGCTTCGTAGCCGTGCTGCGAGAGCCAGTCAAAGAACTCGGCCTGCCGCGTCGCCATCGAGTTGCCGCCCGGATTGAGAGGGTGCGGCTTGGCCTCCTCGGCCGCCCGCACTTCCATCAGCTCCTCGGCAATAGCCTGGACTTGCCGCCCGGCTTCGGTCGCCACCACTTGGTCGAGCTGTGCATGCATGCACGCCATCCGCGCGTCGAGCCCGCTCCCGCGCTCGGCTGCACCTACCGCAAGTTTCTCCGACGCTTCGCGGAGGAGCCGTGCCGAGAGCCGCTCCTCCAGCGACTCAAGCTGGGCGTCCTCGGCCTCGTCCATGAGCGACTCGAGCTCGGCAGCCTGTGCCTGCAAGTCCACCAGCACTCGCTCGATCCGCCGCGCAAGCTCAGCTTCATGCTCTGCCACCGCGTCGTACGTTCCAATCGCCCCATCGACCTGCGACGTCAGCCGCAGAACAAGATCTTCCAGCACAGGCACCAGCGCCGCAACCTGCGGCCGAAGCCGGTCGCCGCGCTCCTTGAACGGCGCTGCCGCAACCTCAAACTCGCGCTTCAGCTCGCCGCACCGCTCAGTCAGCCGCGAGTTCATCTGCGCCAGCCCGGGCTTGAGCGTAGTCGTAATCCATGCCTGCAGCTGGTCCACCCGCATCGACTCGGCGCCCAAATCGCGTTCGATCTCAGTAAACGCCTTGACCAGCTGCTTGAGAAAGTACGTCGGACCCTCCGCTGCCGCCGCTTCTTCTCCATCTGCCGGTGCGTCTGCTGGCGCCGGCTCTGTCCCGCCACCCTCGCTCACCCCGCTCGCCTTGTCCTCGCGCACCCCGCTCAGCTTACTTGCTGGCTCAGCCTGGACTGCGCCGCGCTTCCGCCGCGCCGCCCGCTTGCTAGCCCGTGCCTCAACCTCGCTCGCTTCGGCAGGCGCTTCCCTAACACCACCGCCACGCCGCCGCCCGCTCCGCGACGTCGACGCCTCGGGGCCCGACCGCGGCGTGCCTGACTTTGAGCCGCGCGACCTCGAGCTACTCGCCCCGGAGCCGTGCTGCGAGCTCCGCCGCGAGCTCCTCCTCGAGCTCCGCCGCGAGCTCGACTTGCTTGTGTGGACCTGCGGGAGCTCGCCTATCTTGGCCTCGTCGTCGTCGCTCCAGCCATCAGTCAGTCCGCCCCCGAGCGCCGAGTGGGCAGCCAGCGCCTGGCGGACCGTCAGCGCCTGCTGCATCGACTTGAGCAGGTCGCGCTCACCACCACTTGCGCCACGTCCTCCCGCGGGCTTGTCCGTCACGCCCCCGCGCTTGCTCGACATCCTCCTGCTGGCTAGCGTCGAGTGGCTCCGCTACCGACCCCCCCCCCCCCCCCCGCCCCCGCCCGCCTGCAAGTACGGTCCCCCTCTCCGCGTGACTCGTCGACTAGTGGCCGGACAACGGAGAGGGGGAAAGCCCGTGAACAGCAAAAGGCTCACCAGCACAGCACACAAGCTGTTGAGTGGGCAAGGCAAGCCGAGAGAGGACGAGTCACTCAACTGTGCCGAGCGGACCATGGCGGCGTCCTTTGACTATGAGTACATCATGTATGTTGCTGGCTTGGCTCTCTCCCTCTCCCTCTCCCTCTTCCCTTCCTCCTTCCCTCCCTCCCCTCCTCCCTCCCTCCCTCCGCGCCTCGCTGTGGGCGATAACGCCGCGTGGCGGGTGATGACCTGGCGTTCCATGGCTTGCCACCACAGGCGCGGCTGTCCAACCGCCGGCCTCCTACATGGCACATGCTCGTGCCTATACACTCTCCATGGGTACCATTGTGTAGCTCATGGTCTTGGCTATCTACTCACATGCCTGGTTGCCATTTACAGGAAGTACATTGTCATTGGTACGTTATGGAAGTCCGGGTGTGCCCGCCAGTCCGTCGGGGGTTTTTGCCCCCCCTCGCTGCCCCTCTCGCCGCCGCCCGACCCTGGCGTGTGTGTGTGGAGACGGGAGGGCGAGTGGGGGAGAATGCTCCCCAGCGCGCGTAGTTTTAAAAGAACAAAAAACAGAAAGGAAGCCCCCGCCTGGCGGAAGGGCCAAGGCTAGCCCAAATAATGCTATAAACGCGGGGGGGGAATCGCGT